TTTATTTTGAGGAAAAACGCCTTAAAATTTTGAATTTTTCCCTGTGAGCTGGCAATGTTTTTGTTTCTTTCCAACTGGGAAATCTTAATATACAAATAATATTTGAGGCTTCCTCTTTATATTGACGTAAAAAATACTCAATAAATTTACATCAAATTAGGATTCAGACCAAATAGTAATGTATTATCGTAACCAACACTACAAATTAAATCATATCTCTAGATAAGCCTATGATATCAGAAGGATCCAGGTATCAAAATGTAGCTTTTAAAGCCAGGAATCTGAAAATGTAATTAGGTCATTTTGACCAAATTTGACTTTATCCTCATTTCGATATGAAGGGTCACTTTTTTGTGCCTTTTTCCAGTCTACACTGTAAACATTTGAATTTATTGTTGTTGGTAGATTGGTATAGTCTTTACATGAGACTGATCACTGATCTTTCATCAACTCTGAACAGCAGGAAAGATACAAATCAAATGTATGCATTAATTTATGCAATTATTTTTATCCTAATTATTTTCAGAYCACAAGCTTGGATTGAGGAGCAGCAGATGGGAGCCTTCCTCAGCGTGGCGAAAGGTTCGGAGGAGCCGCCCGTTTTCCTGGAGCTGCATTACAACGGTTCACCGGACAGCAAGCAGCCGCCGCTGCTCCTTGTGGGCAAAGGCGTCACGTTTGACAGGTAATGTATAACGTACACAGTTAACTGCTCGCTGCTCTCACTAGCCGTGTTTCCATCCAATTTTAATTCAAAATTTGAGTGAATTTTTTAAAATGTCGCAAAAAGTGGGGAAAAAAAATCATTAAATGCGAATCAGACCTGTTTCAACTGGCTTGGAGCGAATCTACCAGGCTACACAAAGTAATTACGTCAGACTTTGACGTTACCCGTGGCTATAGTAAACAGGAAGTAGAAGTCACTAACTCGCAGGGGTACACATTTCAGGACAATGGAGAAAAGTTATTCGGAACATGTTGCTATCAAGAAAGTTGTAATTATTCTGTCATATCAACTAGTTCTGACGATGTTACATGCTGTCTTGAGACGTAGAGAAAGAAATGCATTTATCTTCACTTTATGGGAATATGAAAGCATGTAAAAAAATCACAAATCCTATTTTCATTTTACAGAAAAGAGACATAAGAATTATCACCAGAAAACATCACAGTCACCCACTGAATATATTATTTTGTAAATTAAAATTATTAAATTTTTATGAGTTGGTTGATTATAATGTATTGCAGATTATGTATAAGGCTCATTTTTTTACCTTTTAAACATCCAGTTATATTTTAAGAGAGAAAGTTCTTATAATCTTAAAGGACTTGCGATGTTTATTAAACCTAAATTTCGAACAAACTGGAAGGACCGATCTGCTTCCGTTCAAGGAATAAGACTGTGGAATAATCTGGAAAGTGATTATAAAAATGCTGGTTCAATGTATTTC